GAGAGTCAGATGTATGACTGTGACACCATAAAGAGCTCTTTACCAGCCATTATAGGCAACAGAAAGGAGCTGTGAAAGAAATGAATTCAGTACAATGAATGTCAAAATGTAAATAGCACATCCAACCCAAGGAGCTTATTATCTAGTAAAAACGAATAACCTCAAAATGTGTCCTTGTTTAAGAAAGCTTCAGGGTCAGTTTGAGGTTGGGGACAGGGCCAGAAAACTGCTTTTGAAAATAATAACTTTATAACATGAAGTGTCTACTATGTTACTGACACTATGTTGTGCTTTTCCTATATAGATGCTTCTATAGGGCCTACGTTAGTGTCTGTTAAAATTCTTTCAAAGCAAAAAGTCTTATACTGAAGATCAGGCTGTGTGTCACATAAAGTAGGAGGCGCTCCTGCTTTTCCCTGTCCTCCTTCCATGACCTCTGAGTCATATACTCAGAATCCCTGGGATTTTGCATAATCCGGTGGGAAATTACTGCCCTTAGTTACATCATCACAGAAGCTATGGATGATGACCATGTGATTAATGGCTTAAAATATCATAAATTCCACATAACACATTTGAATATGCATTCAGGGCTTCAGACTCTAAAACCCAAGAAAGAACATTGAGTCAGACTTTTGGGCTTCAAAGAAAATTGCTGTGAATGGAATGTCCCCTCCAAATTTATTAAAGCTTGGCCCCATTGTAACAGTGTTAAGAGGGTGGGAAATCTGATTATGGTATTTGAGAGGTGGGGTCTTTAAGAGGTGATTGGACCGTGAGGACTGTGCCCTTGTGAGTATATTAATCCATTCTTAAAGCAATGAGTTAATGGTTTAATGGGTTATCAGATAGTGACTCTGATGGTTTTATAAGAAGAGCAAGGGAGCACATTAACTCTCTTTCTCATACCATCCTTGCCATGTGACTCCCTGTGTTGCCATAGGACTCTGTAGAAGAGTCCTACCAAGAAGACAATCCTTACCAGACATGTTTTCTAGCCCTTGGACGTCCAAGCCTCCAAAACAGTAAGAAATAAATTTCATTTCTTTATAAATTATCCAGTTTTAGGTGTTTAATTATAAGCAACAGAAAATGGACTAATGCAGAAATATTTATGGACTAAGTGGTGGGACTGATAAAAACAGAGGTTGGAAATGTTCTCAATACACACTGATCAGGCAAAGTACGGGATAGGGAAGTTGGTGCTGGCTGCAGGGCCCTCTTTCCTGACTATTGGGACTAATTCTGGAGAATAATACAGAAGAACAACTGGTTGGGTAAGGAATCAAGGTTTAAAGCCTTTTCCTATAGTGCAAACAGCAGGATTTTGTTGTTTTTGTTGCATTTTCTACATATATGTCTCTCCATAAAAATAGATTGCTTTTAACCCTTATGCACTGTTAGGGAGATTTCTAGTGTGTCACAACTTTCTAAGGGTTTGAGACACCTCTCCATTTATTTTCTCCTCCTGCTCTCATTCATAACTAACATCACTGATAAAATGTGACTCTGTTGGCCTTGGACTAGTCCTCATAGAAACCATCTGTTCATCAGATGAGGACAAGGTAATAAATGACCAAATATTGACCATCCCTATTTACAGTGTTTTCTTTACTGCTTCTTATATTGGTGTTACTATTTATTTGTATGTCTTTCTCCCCAACTTGATTGTGAGCCCTCAAAAGATAGTACCCTCGGGCAGGCCCGTGGCTCACTCGGGAGAGTGCGGTGCTGATAACACCAAGGCCCCGGGTTCGGATTCCATATAGGGATGGCCGGTTAGCTCACTGAGTGAGTGTGGTGCTGACAACACCAAGTCAAGGGTTAAGATCCCCTTACCGGTCATCTTTAAAAAAAAAAAAAAAAAAAGATAGTACCCTCATCTTTATTTGTCACTACTTACTAATCATATGTTCCCCACCCACCAGTCTAGAATATAATTTGCATGCAGGTGGAAATGTCTTTGCCTTATTCATTACTTTTACCCCCAGCTCCTAGTATGTTGCATGCACATACTCAATAAATAGATGATAAGACACTGTCTCTGGATCTGTTTCTCATGTTTCTTTTTCTTCTTTAGAAAACCAATTGCAGAAGGTATATTTGTCAACCATTTATTTTATCACATTTCTGTATATTCCTGTATACAGCTTGTTTCTGAAAAGATTTTCTCATATATTTTATTTAACCATATACATATAAAGCTAAACCTGATCAACTTCCCCTTATAGTAAGGGGCTATCAACTAAGAGCTAAAATCTAAAGTACTTGAATCAAGAATCCCTTAAAGAATAATGAAAAACTAGGCAGTGATGATGATGTTCATATGTCACAAAAGTAGTTTCCTAACTTCCCTACACAGGATTTGTAAGACTGGCCTGAAAGCATGAATCTTATTTGTTGGGAAGGCTCATCTCGCAAAGACCAGGAGGCAGAGATTGATGCAATCTGCAGGAGGTTTTTATTTCCAGCAAGCTGGGGTCACTCAGCATTCAAGACATAAGCGACCCCGAATTTACAATACAAGCAGCTTTTATACAGTTCTTTTTTGAACAGATTATGTGATAGGATCAATTGTTGGTTATCTGTGGCGCCTTTAGATTTTCAGGTGGGCTTTAGCTGGTGCCTTTTAGATTTACGGGTGGGCTTTAGCAGGCAGGAAACCCATAGCACATTTCTCAATTGTTTATCTTTCCCAGGTCCTGGCTAGGTGGCCTTTAGATAAGGAACCAGTTATTTCCTGGAACCAGTGGGGGCTATTAATGTTTAGTGTGCTTGGGTGTGACCTTTGTTATGGCCCCTTAGAAGCCGCTTTTATGGCCCCTTTTAGAAGCTGCTTTGCTTAAGCATTTGTTACAAGACTGCATACATTAAGGTTATATTTTTCTACTATTCTACTACAATTTTCTATGTCCCCCTACATTACAATTTGTGCAGTCTACAGACAATAGTGCAGATTAAAGTTACATTTTTATAACAATTTCCCCCCTTTTTCTCTGGTGCGTATTTCAATCATGAAATACTTGTCCCTTATTGATTTAGTTCTCGGTATTGTTGTCTTAGCATCATAATTTGGACGGTACCAACATGGTCTTTAATGAAAGCCACTAGACGATTCAAAATGCAGGGACCAAGAGTTAAAATCATCACTAAAATAATTAACGGTCCTAATAAGCTGGACACAAGAGTTGTGAGCCAAGGGGAGGAGTTAAACCAGGATTCAAACCATCCTTGTGTTTGTTCTCTTTTTCTTTTGGCCAAGACTTCTCTAATTTTGGCCATGGAGTCTTTAATAACTCCTGAGTGGTCAATGTAAAAAATAACATTCTTCTCGTAACGCGGCACAGAGCCCACCCTGCTGAAGGAACAAGAGGTCTAGTCCCCTTCTGTTTTGTAGGACCACCTCAGAGAGGGAAGTGAGGGACTCTTGTAACTTGGCAATAGAATTTTCTATTTCTTTAATATCAGCATCGATAGCTACCTGCAAACTTTGGTAATTCTGATGCTGAATAACTAGAGCTGAGGCTCCTGTTACTGCCCCAGCTGCTCCTAATCCCAGGCCTAGGAGGACAGAGAGCGTAATACTTAAAGGCTCTCTTTTAGTCTGATAGTTTTCATTATTTTTATCCCAATGAGATAATAGCTCCTCGTAGGGATGGTAAATGAGCCGAGGCAGCAGCTGAACTAAAACACAAAAATCCTGGGTTTCTTTCAAGACCGTTGAGCTAACACAGGGTGTAATTCTGGTAGCACACGCCCACCACCCTCCCTGGGGGGGCAACAGATAAGTGTCATCCGGCCACTTAGTTAGGTTAAGTGTTTGATTACACAGCTGGCTGTGTGAGGAGGGGACTCTTCCCACACATGTTCCTTGCTCTGTAACTGCTGACAGAGTGAGCTTAACTTGCTGCTGCTGCCAACGACATTTAGAGACATTTGTTGTTGTTTTAATTCTATTTCTGAAGGCTATTCCTTCATAGTACGGGGGAGTGACGTCATAGCACAGCCAACAGGAGCGAGTAGCATTGGGGTTGGTATTATTCAAGACCTTGAAGGCTTCAGAAATTATTCGGAATAGCCCAGATTGTTCTTGAAGTTCAGGTTTGAGAGGCTCAGGCTTTTTCTTTTGTGGCCTGGCTTTGGACCTTTTAGTGGGGGCTATGGACTCTGGTCGGGTACCCAGGGGTGCTGAAGTAATCTTTGGCCTGACCACTTGAGGTTTCACTGGAGCTAAATATTTATTTGGGCCCACGGCGGTGTACTGAAGTTCTACTTTAAGCTTGATAGTGAACAATAGCCCATCATCGTACCTTTCTTTATGAAACCTTAAACCCCATGTAAATCCTTTGTCCCATCCACTAGCCTTTTTTCCTGCTTCTGTGAAAGACACTCTGAGGGGGTGACACCACCCATTGCAGGTAGGGACTTGGGTCCACCAAAAGTTGTTGATTCCCGATCGGCCTGGCCACCCTACAGCAGGGGGGGAGGGGTGGGTATAATTAGCAGTTACCTTTATATAGTCCCAGGAGGACGAAGGACGCCAATATGTGTCTCCCATTGTCTCGCAGCCCCAGTCTTTGCAGAAAAATTCTGCTTTGCTCCCACACCGATAGTTTAGTGCTCTGCTACGGTGGAACCCAGGGCACACATAGAATGTGAGGGTACTCAGCATGCTCCTTCACGTTGCTGTAGAGCAACCCCCCCATGGATCAAGCCCATGGCGCTCCCAGGGGGAGGGAATAAAAGGGGGCCTGCGAGTGTCAAAGTATCCTTCTAGATCCCAGTTGCCTGAGGCTCCTAGAGCCAGTTTACACACATCTGGAAATAAGTCTGGCCACCAGGCTCCTGTAGTTACTTTGGACTGACTCCAGATCGTATCTCCCACCCCATTTATAACATACCAAGTGAAATTTTTAGGAACATGTGGGCTGTCAGCTCCTGTGCCCCGGAAGAGAATGGCTAGACATAAGAGAAACAAGAGAGTTTTCATCTTATCACAGTTAAGGTGTCTGAACAATTTTCAGTCTTAAGGGGTGCTCTTTGGCACTCTGGACTCTCCAGGTGGTGCTCCTCTGTCCTTGGTCCTCTGGTGGCGCAGGTTTCACGTGCGAGGCGTGGACCCAAGCGGAGATCCCGTCTACCTTCACAGCTGTCGGGGTGTTAGGAGCACTAAGTAAGGTCCTTTCCAGCGAGGCTCCAGGGTCCGGGAACAATGCCGTCTGACGTAGACTGTGTCCCCAACCTGGAACTGATGAGAAACTTTAGGGGTCCCAGGCTCATAAGCAGCTGCCAGCTGTGTCCAAACTTCTTTCTGTATGGCTTGGAGTCCTTTCAACCTGGCATATAAGTCACGGTTACTGTGGCAAGTGGGTTCAAAAGCATCCCCCAGCAAAGTCAAGGGGGCAGGAGCACCATAGGGAATCTTAAAGGGGGTCAGGTTGAACCAGGAGGGGGTGTTCCTAACTCTGAACAGGGCTAAGGGAAGGAGCAAAACCCAGTCTATGCCAGTCTCTATGGTTAATTTGGTCAGAGTCTCTTTTAGAGTTCTGTTCCTCCTTTCTACCTGTCCTGAACTCTGGGGTCTGTAAATGCAATGTAATTTCCAATCGACCCCTAATTGTCTGGCCACTCCCTGGCTTACCTTGGCAACGAAGGCAGGTCCATTATCAGACCTGATTACCCTGAGCACCCCGAAACGTGGAAAGATTTCTTCTAGGATTTTCTTGACCATGACGGTGGCTGTTTCTTGTTTGGTTGGGAATGCTTCTACCCATCCGAAGAAGGTGTCTATAAAAACTAGGAGATACTTGTAACCATATCTGTCTGGTTTAATTTCTGTAAAGTCTACTTCCCAATACATCCCTGGTCTGTCTCCTCTGAGTCTTCTACCAGGGCCCGCTGTATTCTTACAGACATCTACTTTTTGACAGGGCACACAGCTTTTAACTATCTGTTCTGCTAACTGTTTTAGCCCTATGATATGATATTTTGATTTTAGGGCAGTCTGGACCAATTTGTTTACTCCCAGATGAGTCCATTGATGCATCTGTTTGACCATGATGCGTGCTTGTTCTTGTGGCAAGATAGGCTTGCCTGATGCTGCATACCAGCGCCCCTTTTCCTGTTCAAAGTGGTTATTAGAGTCCCTTGAGACCACCGCTACATCCTCAGCAGAGTATTTAAATTTGGGCTTTTCTAGCTTAGGGATGTCAACTAACAGAATGGGCGTGGACCTATTGGCTGCTGTCCTTGCTTCAGAATCAGCCAAGTTGTTTCCCTTGGCAATGGGGGAATCCCCCTTCTGGTGACCTGGGCAGTGTATAATACTCACTTTTAGCGGTCGGTGAAGGGCTTCCAGCAGGGCTATGATCTCTTTCTTGTTTTTGATTTCTTTTTCTCCCAAGGTTAGCAGACCCCGCTGTTGATAGATAGCGCCGTGCACATGGCAGTGGCAAAGGCACACCTGCTGTCCGTGCAGATGTTGATCTTTTTGCCTTCTCCCAGCTCAAGGGCTTTTGTGAGGGCGATGAGTTCTGCCATTTGGGTGGATGTTCCTGCAGGTAGGGCCTGAGCCCATATCAGGTGTTGGCTATCATCCAACTATAGCGGCCCATGCCTTTCTTATTCCTTCTTCCAGGAAGCTGCTGCCATCTGTAAACCAGGTGGCTTCGGCGTCTGTCAGGGGCTGATCCGACAAGTCTTTCTGCCATCCATGCACTTCAGCAAGCACTTGTTGACAATCATGGATAGGCGGGTCGAGGTCTGGGTCCAGCAGCAGTGTGGCTGGATTCAAGCTCACCGGCGGAGCAAAAGTAACCCGGTCTGAATTCAGTAACGGAGTCTGATAGTGAGTCATATGAGCATTTGTGAGCCGGCGGTCGGGGGGCTGGCGGACAACACTCTCTAAAGCATGAGGTGCTGAGATTACTAAATTCTGCCCCATAGTCAATTTGTCAGCATCTTTTACTAGGACAGCAACTGCCGCTACAATCCTTAGGCAGGCTGGCCACCCTGCGGTTACTGGGTCGAATTTCTTAGACAGGTACACTACCGGTCTTTTCCAGGGCCCCAGTCTTTGAGTCAGGACCCCTTTTGCAATTCCCTTATTTTCTGCCACGTATAGATGGAAAGGCTTAGTTCCATCAGGGAGACCCAGAGCCAGCGCAGACATTAAGGCCATCTTAATGTTATCAAAAGCCTGTTGCTCTTTTTCTCCCCACTTAAAGGGCCGACTGTCTTTAGTGAGGGGATAGAATGGAGCTGCCATCTCAGCAAAGCCAGGTATCCACAGGCGGCAAAACCCAGCAGTACCTAAAAATTCTCTGACTTGCCTTGGGTTAGAGGGCGGCGGGATGTGAAACACTGTCTCTTTCCTGGCCTCAGACAACCATCTTTTTCCATCTTTAAGTAGGTACCCCAGGTAACTGACCTGTCGCTTGCAGATCTGGGCCTTTTTGGCAGAGGCTCAATAGCCTTGTTCTCCCAGCTCTGTGAGGAGATGCTTCGTTCCTTCTAGACACTGTTCTTCGTCAGCCGCTGCCAGGAGGAGGTCATCTACATACTGCAACAGAGTTACCTGGGGGTTAGAGGCCCGGAACATGGCCAAGTCCTGGTGGAGGGCCTCATCAAAGATGGTGGGCGAGTTTTTGAATCTTTGAGGCAGGCGGGTCCAGGTGAGTTGCCCCGCTAGGCCATTCTCAGGATCTTTCCACTCGAAAGCAAAGTAATCTTGACTTTTCACGGTCAGTGGCAAAGAGAAGAATGCATCTTTGAGATCCAGTACTGAATACCAGGTCCTCTCTGGAGGTAAAGAACTTAAAAGATTATAGAGATTAGGGATGGAGGCATGGAGATCAGCCACGCATTTGTTTACCTCTCAGAGATCTTGGACTGGTTGATAGTCATTAGTCCCAGGTTTCTGAACTGGCAGCCAGGGCGTGTTCCACACTGATTGGCACTTCTGTAGGATTCCCAGCTGAAGCAAGTGGGCAATGTGGGGCTGAATGCCTTCATGTGCTTCTTGGGACATCGGGTATTGTCGGACAGCTATAGGGCTAGCTTGAGCCTTTAGTTCTACATGGATGGGGGGCCGGTTCTTAGCTTTCCCTATTCCGGCTGTTTCTTCCCATGCCTGGGGGTAGTTTTCTAACCACCAGTCCATCTGCCCAGTTTCTTGCTTGTGCTTTTCAAACAATTGGTATTCATCTTCTAACCTAAGGGTTAGTACCTGGAGAGGCTTCCCTTGCCGATTTAGCACTCGAGGTCCCTCGGGGTCAAAATGAATTTGAGCACCTATTTTGGTGAGGGGATCTCTTCCCAGCAATGGGTAGGGGCACTCAGGAATGACTATGAATGAGTGGGTTACGTGGCCCATGCCTAGGTCCACTGTTCTTCGGGTAGTCCATGAGTACTGTTTGTACCCTGTAGCCCCTTGTACGCATGACTTCTTCTCGAGAAGAGGTCCATTTGCTTGTAGCAGTACTGAATTTTTGGCTCCAGTGTCTACCATGAACTGAATAGGCTTCCCCTCCACTTTAAGAGTTAATCACTGTCTTCCTGCAAAGTTAGGGTTTTGGGGGCTTGAGGCTCTTTCTTCTTCTTAGGGCAATTCCATACCCAATGTCCTCTCTTCCTACAGTAAGCACATTGATCCTTTGCCAGGGGTCCCTTCTTATTGCTTGGCATCATCTTATTAGGCTCTCTGGTTTCCCTAACTACAGCGGCCAGAAGTCTGTGTAAGTTTTTCTCTTGACGCTTTTCTCTCTTAATTTCTTTAGCTTCCTCTGACTCTCTGTTATGATAAACCTTTTCAGCCACGTGCACTAATTCTCTTAATGACTTATCTTGCAACCCTTCGAGCTTTTGCAGCTTCTTTCTGATGTCCCTGCTAGACTGATCAATAAAGGTAACTGTCACTGTAGCCTTATGCTCTCCACTACCAGGGTCATATGGGGTAAAGCGATGGAATGCCTCCATGCGTCTTTCTAGAAATGCTGATGGAGACTCCTCGGGCCCCTGGGTTATCTCTCTCACCTTAGTCAGATTGCTGGGGCATTTTGCTGCCCCTCTGAGACCTGCCATTAGAGCGTGGCGATAGACTTTTAGGTGCTCCCTACCTTCAGTCGAGTTGAAGTCCCAGTTTGGTCTGATCAATGGGAACCCTGCATCTATAACGTCAGGAAGGAGAGTAGGTCGCCCATCAGCCCCTGGCACATTCTTTCGAGCTTCAAGGAGGATTCGTTGCCTCTCCTCCGTGGTGAACAGGACCTGTAAAAGCTGCTGGCAATCGTCCCAGGTGGGCTGATGAGTAAACAGGAGAGATTCTACGAGGTTAGTGAGACCTTGAGGGTTTTCAGAGAAAGGGGGATTCTGAGATTTCCAATTGTAAAGATCAGAGGAAGAAACAGGCCAGTACTGCAAGGGCTGATTGCCTTCTTCATCAGGGGGGCCGTAAGCCCACAGGGGGAAGACAGGGACAGCATCTGAAGGGGCCACCCGTTTACTGCATGTCCCTTGAGCTGGCCCTCTCTCCAGTTCATTCTCTGATGGGCCCTCCTGTGGTGGAGCAGACTGTCGGGCTGCCTGTGATCGAAAAGAAGGGAGGTAGGGAGGGGGGTCAGAAAGAAGCCAGTCCGGGTCAGTGGATGGCAGGATCTCAGGTTTCTTTCTTACTTCTCAGAGAGCAAATATACCCATTGAACCTGTTAAGGGAACAAAGGGACAGATCCAGGAAGGAGGATCTGTGACTAAATCTTCCCAGACAATAATATAAAATGTCTGTTCTGGGAGATGTTCAGAATTAAAAATTTTTCTTTTTACTGCTGTGATCAGCGGCAGAGAAAAGGAACCATCTGCTGGCCATCCAAGTTGGAAATCTGGCCACTCCTCAGAACAAAGCATTACCCATTTATTCCTTTTAATTGGCATAGACAAATCATCAGCTCTGGATTTCACATCAGTCCAGTGTTTCAGAGTCAGACTCAAAGGAGTTGAGACAGTTTGCTCCATGTCACCCCAGACCCCCGTCAGTCACACACACACACACACCAGACAGACAAGAAACAAAACACTGATGCACTCCTGCCACGAGTGCTACAACCAGATTATCAGAAAAACTTGGGAGGGGTCTCTTTCTTAGAGATCTCCTATGGAGCCGAACCTGTTTGTCTCCTACAAAGTAGTCTGGAGTGTCCTATGGGACTCCTGTGGCTGTGGTGTGCCGGCACATCTGCCACGTCACTTGACCACTACAGACAGATGGCTCTGCCTCGGAGCCTCAGAGAATCCAAAACCAGATCGGTGTTTCCATCCTGGAGACACCAAGAAATGCAAAACCAGATTACAGTAAACAACAGAGGAAACTCAAAGACAGACACAGCAGACAGACAGAGACAACAGCGGTACCTGCGCTCGAGCAATCCTCCATTCTCTAGCCTCTGGTCCCGGAGAGAGCCAATTCCCGGAGAGAGCCGCTTCCTGGCCAATGCACCAAAATGTAAGACTGGCCCAAAAGTGTGAATCTTATTTGTTGGGAAGGCTCATCTCGCAAAGACCAGGAGGCAGAGATTGATGCAATCCACAGGAGGTTTTTATTTCCAGCAAGCTGGGGTCACTCAGCATTCAAGACATAAGCGACCCCGAATTTACAATACAAGCAGCTTTTATACAGTTCTTTTTTGAACAGTTCTTGTGATAGGATCAGTTATTGGTTATCTGTGGCGCCTTTAGATTTTCAGGTGGGCTTTAGCTGGTGCCTTTTAGATTTATGGGTGGGCTTTAGCAGGCTGGCACCCCATAGCACATTTCTCAATTGTTTATCTTTCCCAGGGCCTGGCTAGATGGCCTTTAGATAAGGAACTAGTTATTTCCTGAAACCGGTGGGGGCTAATAATGTTTAGTGTACTCGGGCCTGACCTTTGTTATGGCCCCTTAGAAGCTGCTTTTATGGCCCCTTTTAGAAGCTGCTTTGCTTAAGCATTTGTTATAAGACTGCATATATTAAGGTTATATTTTTCTACAATTCTACTACAATTTTCTATGCCCCCCTACATTACACTTTGTGCAGTCTACAGACAATAGTGCAGATTAAAGTTACATTTTTATAACAATTTCCAACAGATTTCTGATGTTATAGTCATATTTGGATGAGATATAAAAATAGGATTACTTCTCTTCCTTTCTCTCTTCCTCACTTCCACAATCCTATGAATTTCTTTCAAATAGACACTAATCCCATTTTAATGGAGACCATGCATTAGAATATTTAATAGCCTGCATTGGAGTATTTAATAGTCTGAAGGAGCCTCTGACATTTTTGATGAAAGCTAGATGGAAAGGCATAATCCAAATCTCAGTGGAATTTTCCACTTAGGATCCAGGACATCTGTTATCTTCTTTCTTTGCTTCCTTGGATTTATGCTTAGGTTTTGTTGTTTTGTTTTAACATAAATAAATAAACTATGTATCCCATTTTATCTCAGTGTCTTGCTAGCAAATACTGAGGTGAATGCTCTATTTTTTTTTTTTTTAATTTCCATTCAGTTTACGTTTTTACAGGGAAGTTACACTTTCTCAAATTGCTTTCTTCCTAAGGGCTTTATTACCATAGTAAATTTTAAGTGAAGGGTGCCTACTACTTGCTAGCTATTCCCCTAAGAATTACTTGTAGCTCCTGTAATCAATAGTAGCAGCAAGAAACATACCTAAAGGAGGTTGTGCTTGTTGATAAGAGGTTAGGGCTTATGAGGTAAGGCAAACATTTCAGATATCAAACAGATGCTTTGAAATGGAGATGTAATTCATTTGTGTGTTAATCAGTATAAACAGTTTTATTATTGTATGAGCCTCAGGATGAAATTACCAATTTCATTTACTGAAAGATGCTGCCTTATAAACTGTTAGATACAAAAGATCAGGTGCACATTGGATTTTGCTCTTGGCTGGGCTTCTGTCAGTTAATTTCGATGAGGACTTAATGCACTTATTCATCCTTCTTGTAAATTACTTTATTAATGCTATTTAAGACTTACCTTAGTGTGGACCAATTCAAAATTTTATAATATGGTCAAAAATGGACATCTGAAGAATTATTGATGAGTTTGTAAATATCTTCTTTGAAATTTTTATTTATTCCATTTTCTAGGTTATAAGCAGTAGCCTTGAGGGAGCTAAAGTCACTTTCTTGAGACTTGTAATAAAATTGCTTATCCTTTCTTCTTTGTCTTTGTTCTTTTTTTGTTTCTGAATTGGGTGGGGAGGGCTGTGGCAATCCTTTATCCTGGCAAACAAAGAACAGAGGCAGAGTGCTATTCATAGTCTGAATGTTAATATTCACATTAACTCTTAGAATAATTGTTTGTTCTGGCAAAACTCCTTGGGAAAAGCTTTCAAAGACAAAACATGCTTAGTCTTTACCAAACAATTCCATTTCTATAATTTCCTGGCTCTAGGCATCAATTGGAGATGGAAAAGCTATACTTGAGTGACAGAGGCTATTGATAATTAGTTGGGAAATTTCAACAAGCATTTCTTTGATAGAAAACAGAATGGACATGATGATAAACATGACTTTCTGAAGTTTTGGTTTGAAATGAATTAAAAGAAGGCATTTCTTAAACCATGATGGAAAAATACAACAGCTTTCTCTAAATACTTGTTCATTTGTTTTCTGGTTTATGCAGTTGCTGTACCCCACTATCAGAGAGTAAAGTCTATGCTGGCAGAGGCCTGTCTTTCTGATTCACCTTTTGACAGTTCCTTAGTGTCTCATGGTACTTCACCCAGGAAAGGTGCTCAGTGAACATGAATGAATGCGTGAAAGGCTTGGAAACCTTCACATTAACTCTAAAGTGCTACCCACTTGCCCTGGGGTGTTATGATTAGATCTGCTGTCTAATGTCAGAGTCCATTGCACTCCCGGTGATGCCCTTTAGCCTCCAGCTGCTGAATGTTGTTGGCATCTTTTTTTTTCTGTATTGCAAGGTCACCATGTAATGGTGACAATGCCAAAATCATCTTGACAAGATCTTAGCATTTGATTTACATTTCTAATATCTGTGGATATGGATTTCATAATAAATCATTATTTCTGCTCATAAGAACTAGTGATTGTAACAAACTTGTGCAGAAGACAGTAACTAGCATGGTAGACTCTAACTAGCATTCTGTTCTCTGGTCCTCAGTGTCCCTATATCTAAATGAGGAGGTGGGTAACAGGGTCTGTAAGTTTCCTTCTAGCTGTAATAAATATTCTATGATTCTGCTCTTGGAATTTGACAACTTCTGTTTTATCTCCTGTACACTTTAAAACGTTGCAAAGGATTAGACAAACAAATAGAGATTGAAAAGATCAACTATATAAGTTCTTCACACTGAAGAGTGTGAAGGAAAAATAGTGGGAAGATAAGTATATGAGAAAGAACAGATTATTTTCTTACTGGAGACTATTATAATGATAATTAAGTAATACTTTTCCCAGATGGTGATTTATTATCTAGTAGACTGTCGGATTGCTTTAAAAAGTAAACAAAGAAACAACAAAAAACTTTAAAACTTCTTTTCAAGTGTCTTTGACTTATAAATCTAACTTATTTATTTTTTGAGCAAAAAATTTTTTTTAAAACTTATTATTAGCACTTGGAATAGTATCAGGAAAAAACAAGGACTTGGCAGAGGTATTTCTGCTTGATCAAAATTTCACTTACATTTTTCTTAAAAATAACAATTTACTGTAGTGATATGTATTTCTTGTGAGCATTCAGAAAATAGAGATCATCAAGAAAGATATAAATAGAGTAATTTGTTATTCCACCATGTAGATAGAAATAACACTATTTCAACACACAACTCTCTGGGATATATTGTTATCTACTAAAGATGAGAGCTTACTATATTTCTATACATGCAGTTTTACAACTTACTTTTTCACTCACTTCTCTTTGATGATATGTTTACAAACATCAAGCTATCTTGATTCTTGCAACATGTGTAGTGGCAGAAAAGCCCTGTCCATATGGAGTGGGAGCCAGGGAGGTAATCAGTGTCCAGTCCAGGTGTCCCTAAACAATAGTCTGCTCCAGCTCTCAAATTCCTGTTACAATGAGTAAGGAAGGAAGGAGCGAAGCAAGGAAGGAAAAGAGAAAGTAATAAAATATTGATGATTCAGAAAGCAGAAAAAAATTGATACATAAATTTAAGAGCTAATATTTTTAATGAAGCACTAAAATATACATATCACTGACTAACCTACTCAAAGGCATAAAAAGGGAGAAAGTAAACCTGAAAGGAAAAACAGAACATAACAAAAGATACCAAGATAATTAAAGGCAATATATGGATAAATTTGGAGGACTGGATAAAATAGACAATAATTAAACTTACATTGATAAAACTAAAATTACGACAATCACAGAATTTAAAGGTTATCAAAGAGCTGCCTTTCATAGCCTTAAACAAAACACTGTAAATGTACAAAAAAAAAAAAAAAAA